TAGCTTGTCGTGCATTCTTTCCCAAAAGTGGGATGTCTGGTCACCTTACACAAAGGGTCCTAGAAGTGGGTAAGATTGAAAAATCTAGTGGACTTGATACTCAGACTTGAATAACATAAAATATCTTCAGTTAACAGTGAAAGAACATCTAAAACATCTATTTAGAAAATAAAACCTGGTTCGCTCATTTAATAAATACTAGGTACAGAGCACAACAGGGTAGATCAAAAGTCTACGAGTGTAATTAAATGGCAACAATCATTTTAAATAACGTCATTATAATGACCTGAGCCTGTTTCATCTCACAGAAGACTGAGTGTGGGAAAGGAAAAACAGTGACTCATGTATTTTCTATTTAGTTGTCAATGTAAAATAAAAATACTTAAAATTAAGTGGGACCTCTTATGGAACATGTTGTATTAAGTAAACTTAAAAAAAACTTTAAAAAAAAGACTAATTTTTAAAGCTTGTCAGATGTACAGGAAAAATCTGAGGCTCAATCTCCAACTTCTCCCTTTTTTGGATTTTTCAGTTTCTTGTGAATTAAAGGAGAGATTTGATTTTACAGTAAAGGGAATATTTCCAAAACATTTAAATATGAACACTCAATCTTCTTTTATTAAGAGTAAAGGCAGTTCCTTTCAATATCCCAAGTAAAATTTAACTAAAAATTCATTGTAGATTAGTAAATTAATCTTCAAGTATTTCATTTTTCTATTCATTTAATGACATCCATTAAAAATTCTAAATTGTTTGTCACCAAAGACTTTTTTCATGAAAACATAAGAGTAATGAGAATTTGTTTATATATACATATAAAAACAAACAGAAGCTAAAAATTCTGTTATCAACAAAATTCTAATTAAAAGTTATTCTGCATACTAGGGGACTTCAAAATGTTTCTAGAAATACTCCACATCTCTTAATTCCTTTTTTTCACAAATTTTTACAAGCCCCTTCCTACTTATATTAAATTGTTTACTTTGAAGATGAGTAACATTAAATTGTCCATGTATAAACTGGAAAAGAGGCAGAGAATCTTTCGGTTGAAAACAAATTTAAAAACTGCCTTAAAAAGTAATCTGGCTGTAACTTTATTTCAGTGTATCGACTCCAGTAGAATACTCAATAATTTTAGCTTGGGGAGATTTTCATTTCAAGTGAAAATAGCTCTGATCCTATGTTTTTATTTGAATTTTCAGGACTATAAATATATGTGTATATTCAAAACATATTAAAATGCTTATTATTAATAGCATCTATTGCTGTACATTTCCTAAAGAAGCAAATACAGTTTTGCACATTTGAAGAAAAAAAATTGCATACAAAAATCATAAATAAATTTAATGCAACTTATTTATAAGGATTTGTAGACACCACTGGTTTTTTCACATGTCAGAAAAATTAGCATTAATGGCATCCCAGAATCAATCACATCATTCATGGAAACAGTCAATGAGTTCTCTCTTCTAACCTGGCCTGTCCAGTTGATATGTTCCATTCGTCTCGCTGACCAGTACTTCGTGATTTTGATTTGTCTTTGCTAACAGAATCAGGTTGTTTCAAAGTGCGTTTAGCTGGTGGAGATACGTGGCTATCACTTAAACTACCATCAACTTCGGCTTTCTGAAAGACAAGGTTAAAAATGTGTGTTTATTATCCCTATGAAAACGTCAACATCTTAGTATTCTAGAATAATTATGAAAAGGGCTTCAACAAGTTCGTCAACAAATGAAATTTTAAAATAATGGAAGAACAAAGTAGGTCACACACTTCGCCGTCTAAAAACATACTACACAGCCAAGGGAGTCAGAACCACCTGGTACTGGTATAAAGGCAGACACACTGACCACTGGAACAAAAATTGAGAACCCAAAGTAAATCCATCCACCTATGGCAGCAGTTCTCAATCTGTGGGTCGTAACCCCTTTTGGGGATCAAATGACCCTTCTACAGGGGTCGCCTGATTAATAACAGTAGCAAAATGACAGTTATGAACATGAGGAACTGTATTAAATTGGCGTGGCATTAGGAAGGTCGAGAACTACTGATCTATGGTCACTATCAGTCTGCATCAAATCAAAGGAAGTGAATTTTTGTTTGTTTGTTTTATAGACAACTAATCTTGGGCACAGGATTAAAAGGCATTAAATAAGAAAGACACATTTTAACAAACAGTGCTAGAAAAACCATATGTCCATTTGCAGAAAAATGAAACAGCATCTGTATCTCATAAATGAAATGAAGATGCTGCTTCATTTTGATGTAACATACAAAATTTAGAAACAAGCTTGGGAGTGCTAGTAGGTGACACAAATACACTATCAAACATAACAGAAAATATACCAACAGAAAATAAACTAGATGATGAGCACTTCCTAAAAATTCAACACTGACATAAAAAATTTCACCCAAATAGTAAAAAGAGAACCCAGATAGAGTGTACAAATGGCAATAGCATGTTGGACAAGGAACTAATTCCTCAAACCTATAGAAAGCTTCAGTATTGCAACAAAAAGATAACCAATTAAAAACTGGACAGAGCTACAAAAAAATCAAATCACTGTGTGCTCACCTCCATGATA